GTACAATCGAGAAGCACGCGTCTCGGGTTTTGAAGGAAGACCCGAGACTTTTTGGAGATCGCTCTCTCGGGAACCTCGTTCGAGAACGGGGGTAGGTATTACCAATCTGTGAGAGAGGAATTTAAGGTGGGTTTGGGACTTACTCGAGCTAGCTCGTGTGGGCGCCCTATTAAATCACGAAGAAAGCCCCCCAGTAATAAAACTGGTTCAGAATCGTCTCCCTTGGCTTGTATTCTCCTGTTTTCTACAATCACACACATATGGAAAAAGGTTATAAGACAGGTAGGTCAGACCTCACCATTTCCTCTTTGGTGAACGTACACGAGCATACACATTCAAAAGAAGAAGGGAGGAATAAGAGAAGAAAGATGGGGGAGAGAAGAATTCGACTGAGAGGGAAGATCAACACAGTGACTAAGCTAGTGAATAACTGGCCTAACATGGTAGCAAAACGGGCTCGGTAACTCAGACCGGCTCACAGGATTACTACTAGACGTCATTACCAATACCGAGTAGCTAGGCACGATGGTTAGTCTGTCGTGGCAATAAAGCGAGCACAGTAATTCTAGCACAATAATATTACGGCTAGACAGCAGGATTACCATGATAGGCTAACATCGATCCCTCTTAATCGAATGAAAGAATAACATAATGAAGGCCATAAGGAAAGAATAAGAAATGAAATAAGAGAAGAAGGGAACCGATGGAAGGAGGGGGAAGAAAGGAAGATAAGAGTGTGAGAGACGAGAGAATAAGGGAGAGAGGAAGGAGAAAGACGCAGTCAGCACTAAGCATTGCCGACTGTGTTAGAAGGAAGAGAGAGAAAATACAGTCGCCACTAAGCTTCGCCTACTGTGTTAGACAGAGAAGATCCAGTCGGCGCTAGGCTTCACTGACTATATTAGATAGAGAAGAGAGAGGAGATGCAGTCGGTGTTATGCTTCGCTGACTGTATTAGATAGAGAAGAGAGAGGAGATACAGTCGGAGCTAGGCTTCGCCGACTGTGTCAAAAGAGAAGAAAGGAGAGCAACCTAGCCGACACTAAGCTTGCGTCAGTTGTGACAAAAGAAAGAGAGAGAGAGAGAAAAAACCTAACCGGCGCTAGGCTTGCACCGGTTGTGACAGAAGAAAGAGAGAGAAACCCAGCCGGTGCTAGGCTTGCGCCGGTTGTGATAGAAGAAAGAGAGAGAAACCCAGTCGGCGCTAGGCTTGTGCCGGTTGTGACAGAAGAGAAGAAAGAGAGAGAAATATAACTGACATTAGGCTTGCGTCGGTTGTAACAGAAGAATGAGAGAGAGAAACCTAGCCGGCGATGGGCTTCGCGACTGTATTAGACGAAGAACGGAAGGGAGATAGAGATGAGAAGAAGAGAGAGAAAGAGATAGATAGTGATGAGAAGAAGAGAGAGATAAAGATGAGAAGAAGAGAGAGAAAGAGATAGATACGAGA